GCCTTCCCTAAGTTCTGGTGGTGGCCCAGTTCGCCATAATTATACCATCAGAGTGTGCACACGGTGACCGGCTAGAGAGTCCGGGAGTTACCGGCCAGAGTGTTCCGGGAGTTACCGGCCATAGTGTTCCGGGAGTTTCAGTTTACTTATATATACCGGTTCTGTGATATCATTATTATTATTACTGGTTACTTTAGAATGGGTTTTTTTGGAGTTCAAGTGGACCGTACTCACCCTCACTTTATATTTTCAGATGGCAAGGTCGGCGGGCAGGCGTGAGTCCAGCTGTGGTGGTTGTGGTCGTGGAGATGGCACAGCGAGCCGTTCCAGGGACTTTTGTTATCATGTTTTGTATAACTAATATTTCCATGCATTTCTAGACTTCCGCTATGCTTGCTTTTATTTCGAACTTGCATGACAGTATTTTCAAACTTAAATAATTTATCCAGTTCGCCAGTACGAACGGGACCAGTTAAAATGCAAGATTCGATAAAGAATTTAAATTTGATTTTCTTAAAGTCTAAACCAGTTGATAGACCTAGTTAATGAAAACAGATTTCCAAAGCAAATAAGTTTTTAGCAGCATCCCGAGATAAGTTTGCAAATGATTGCGAAAAATTTATAAGCATTTTCGAAGGTAGAATTTGCGAAAAAATTTGGCCCTAGGTAGCAGGGTGTTGCAGCGACCCTCGTAGCATGCATTCTCACAAGGTGTAATAGATGTCGGTGGATTTAAGTTAATGTTTTTTTGAGGATATCAATATTAACAGTTAAATTCAAAAGTGGTTAATCTGTAAAATTTATGTGCATGATTCTCAAGATATTCATCATGTCGTTCAATCCGTTGTCAGTCATTCTAAAAGAAAATCAGCTTACTAGTCCTAATTACATTGATTGGAAGAGGAACTTAGACATAGTGTTGACTGCTGAGGGTTATAAGTTTGCTATCACTGATGCTTGCCCGGCGGTGCCGGCGGCTGATTCTCTTGAGCAGGAAAAAGAGAAGTATGCTCGGTGGAAGAAGGCTGATGAGATGGCGAAGTGTTACATTCTGGCTTCTATGTCGAATGTGCTGGAACACGCCGACGAGGCGGTCCGTCCCACGGATCGATATCGTATACCAAACATGTACATACATGATTTCGAATTAACCCTAGGCATGCTCCTAAAGGACGAACAGAGAATTTACCTTTCTTCGAGGCTTTGATTCGATCTGAGCAATCTTCTAGTCTGTGTCCCGACCACGTTTGGACGCCGGATGGACGACGATCTACCAAACGGTTGAAAAAAGCGGATTGCGACTCGTCTTATCTGAACCCTTCACGTCACTTCTCCACGATGGTGGCTGAAGAATGTCACGTTCTGTGATGTGTGTAGGGTTAAAGACGTGCAATCCCTCCATTTATAGAGGTCCTTGGGCCAGACTAGGGATCTCTTAGAAGGTATAGGGTTTGGGCTTCCTACGGGCCCAAATTCTTATGTTCAGCCCGAAACATAATTTGTCCCGTAAATATTAATTCATTCCACTAGAGAATTAATATTGCACTCCTGTCCTATCCTGAAATGAATCAGGGTTTCTATTAGACTCGATATAATTCCTCGTGTTTAAGATATCGCACGTCCATTAATTATTAAAGCTTCTGACTGCTTTAATTACTTAATATCTTTTATTGCTCAAGTAGTACCACTCAACCTTATTATCGTACGAATTAAATCCACCTGCAGGGTTTGATACGATAATCCTTATGAGTTCCTTAAGGGGACGTCATCAACCTGGATGTCCAGGACACGGTTCTCTAATGCCAATAAATAGATATCATGCAGACAATGTTGTCACCCAAGATATGGAGCATATTGAACCAACGCTTGGTTCTCACCCATGGTAAATCAAAGTAACAAACAAATATCCCACATATCTAAGTATCACAGTTAGGATTAAGAATTAGTAGAGTCACCGAGACCTTGGTTCTTCATGATAGTCAGAACAGAAGAACGCGTCTCAACTGTGATCCATTCAATGCGACGCAGCGCACTAGTATAAACCTATAGCCAAGATAAGCTATATCCAGTTTATACTACAACTTAAATCGATAGTCATGTCCATAACTATCTCAGTTGTGAATACCATTTATATCTTATAAGGGACCGACAATGTAATCTTCTGTGTGACTATTAACACACCACATTGTCTACAATATAAGATAATTGGACATTTAGCATACAAGCAATCATAAAGAAAGCAACAATGTGAAAATATTTATTTCAGTCGAATGGGAAATTGAATAAATACAATCTAAAAGCTCACATAAAAGTTTGCTTTTGCAGTATACTCCAACAATCTTCCACTTATACTAAAGCTAAACTTTTAGTATACAAACGCATGTCAAAACAATTCTCCCACTTATACTCAAAGTCTAGTTGCAACACATCTTAAACCAAGACCCTCGACGTGTTTCTCGAAGACATTAACAGTCATAGTCTTCATGAAGGGATCAGCTAGGTTATCCAACGATGCTATCTTCGTCACAACCACATCTCCTCGTTTTACGATCTCTTGTATAAGGTCGTACTTTCTCTCTATGTGCTTACTGGCCTTATGTGCTCGGGGTTCTCTCGAGTTTGCGACTGCACCAGCGTTGTCACAATAAATTGTGATACACTTAGGCATACTCGGAGACACCGCTAAGTCCAGTAAGAAGCTCCTGAGCCAAACAGCCTCCTTTGTTGCTTCTGATGTAGCAACGTATTCGGACTCCATGGTGAAATCTGCGATGCATTTCTGCTTCACACTCCTCCATGAGATCGCTCCCCCTCCCATCATAAACACATAACCCGAGGTCGACTTTCTCTTATCTCGATCAGCTTGGAAATCAGAATTTGTGTAACCCAAAGGAGTTAGACCGTCTGACTGGTAAACGAGCATATAATCCCGAGTTCTTTTTAGATACTTGAGAATATGCTTTACCGCATTCCAGTGTCCTTGACTAGGGTTAGACTGATATCTCGCTACCATGCCAACCGCATAGCATATATCAGGCCTCGTGCATAGCATGACATACATAAGGCTTCCTACAGCCGAAGCATAAGGAACCTTAGCCATTTCCTCCATCTCCTTTGTGTCTTTGGACACACATCCTTAGATAGAGGAACTCCATGCCGAAAAGGTAGCAACCCTTTCTTGGAGTTCTGCATGCTGAAACGAGCAATCACAGTATCAATGTAAGCGGCTTGGGATAAACACAACATTCTCTTCTTCCTGTCACAACTGACCTTGATTCCAAGAATGTACGATGCCTCACCTAAGTCCTTCATTTGAAACTGTTCTGAAAGCCATACCTTTACGTCTGACAATACCTTAACATCGTTGCCGATGAGAAGAATATCATCTACGTATAATACTAAGAATACCACTACGTTTCCGTTGCTCATTTTGTATACACAACTTTTGTCTTGACATTGATCAAATCCATAGGACTTGATCACCTTGTAAAAACGAATATTCCAAGACATAGAAGCTTGTTTGAGTCCATAAAGAGACTTCTTTAGCTTCCAACTCGATGCTCTTGGCACTTCTTCACATAACCCTCGGGTTGCTGCATATAGATGTCTTCATGCAAGTTTCTGTTAAGGAAAGCTGTCTTGACATCCATTTGCCAAACCTCATAGTCCATGTGAGATGCTATGAATAAGAGAATCCGGATCGACTTAAGCATGTTTACTGGTGAGAAGGTCTCATCATAATAGATTCCCTCTTTCTGAGTGAAACCCTTCGCAACCAACCGTGCCTTGAAGGCAACAACTTGCCCATCGGATCCTCTCTTACGCCTATAGACCCATTTGCACCCAATGGCTTTCTTGCCCTCAGGAAGGTCCCTAAGGTCGTATACCTCCATAGCATCTATAGATTCAATCTCAGAATCCATAGATTTCTGCCAAAAATCTGCATCTACGTCTTGGATTGCCTCATTGTAGTTCCAGGGATCACTATCATGCTCTTCACTTGGGATCAAGTCCGAAGACTCTCCCATAAACATGAAACGATCGGGCTGACGAACAACCCTCCCACTACGACGAGGCAATTCAGGTGTAAATACATCAGAGTCAACACGTTGTGCAGTCTCTTGTGGTATATCCTTTTGCACACTAGGTGTGCCATTGTCATCCCTCAACTATTTGAGAATAATCTCACTCTTAGACTTATGCTCACTCATATAGTCTTCTTCTAAAAACCGGGCATTGGTACTTACCACTACCCTCTGGTCTTTAGGACTATAAAAGTAACCACCTCTCGTTCCCTTTGGGTAACCCACAAACAACCGTACTTCTGTTCTAGGTGCCAACTTATCAGCTTCCTTATCCAACACATGTGCTGGGTAACCCCAAATCCGAATGTGGTTTAAATTGGGCTTGCGCCCGAACCACAATTCTATTGGAGTTTTCGGAATCGATTTAGAAGGCACGAAGTTAAGAAGGTACGCCGCCGTTTCCAAGGCATATCCCCAAAACGAGGTAGGTAATGAAGCATATTTGTGGATTATTTGAGAATTTTTATTATTGATATTACAATTTATTATGGATGATTATTTTTTTTGTGATGATATTAATATTATTATATTCTTTTTTGAATGTCCTAATATTTTTAATTGCCTAAATGTGATTAAATGATAAATTTTCTAATTGTCAAATGATTGCTAATTGTATATTTTGATTATTAATATTATTATTTTAAAATAATGTGTATAAATTTTTATTCGAGTTGTATTTATTTAAATTGTGCGGTTAAATCGAGCCCGCGAGCCAAACCCTCTAAACCGACCCAGCTGAGCTCGACCCGCCCCCAAGACCCAATTTTCTCTCTATTCCGTGCGTGAGAGTGTGTGCGTGTGAATGTTCTTGTGAAAAAAGAAAAGTCAACCTAGGCTATATATATATATATATAAACTGTATCTATTTTTTTTTCTCCTCTTCAAATACCTGTACGCAGCTTTTTCTCCTTCAAGATCTGCTCCCGATGTCTTCCTCTCATGCTCAAACTCTCATCTCGTTTTCTCTCGAACCCGACCATCGTCCCTTCTCTCTCTCGCTCAATCCGCACGCTCCTTTCTTCTCCGTCACTCGATCTCCATCCTGTACCTCAGGCCGAACTTCCGGCGACCCCTGTTCGTGAGCTCCGGCGAACCTGCTCCTCTGTTGACAAGCAACAGTACACCGACGCAATCCTCGCGAAGCGTCGTCACCCGCAGGCCCTCCGCCGCTGCTCCGCTCCCCCTCATGAAATTTTCCGGCGAACTTGCAGCCACCCGTCACCACCGAGGAACTGTTCCTCCTCACGCCATGGCTGCGCCTGCAAGCTTCCTCCGCTGTCCGCTCGTGAGCCCCGCCACAGCCAACGAGTCGTGAAGTCCTCCCTCCGACCGCAAGCAACTCCGGCGAGCACCTGTTCGTGAAGCACAGCCGCCGTCGTCACTGCTCCTCCGACGAAGCCTCTTCGCCGCCGACGACCAGCAGTAGGCCCGCCGTCGTGTCACAGTCGCAGCCGCTGCTTCCACCCGCGCGAGTCGAGTGAAGCCGTCGAGCTCTTTCGCCGTCGTCGAGCCCGTTCGAACCCCTTTCTCGCTTGTTTTCCGAGAACGGTATCGAGTCCCGACCCCTGCTTTATTATTACGTGATTTATGTTGTGCTCGGATATGTTGTACATGTTCGTTGAATTATTATATGCGTGTTTGAATCGTTTGTTATGAAAATATATTCGTGATTTTATGTGAAACTCGTCGATTCGTACGAGTCAAGTGAGAACTGAAAATAAGTGATGAGTTGCTTTGGATTTAGTAACTTAAGATTATTTCGAACACAATGGTGCTAACCTTGTGTCGATTGGGCTTGTAAATTGATAGTTATGATCTTTCGAAAGTTTAAATGGCTGTTTTGAATGTGAAATTCATTATAAATTGAATACTAGTCCGATTGCCTTGAAATTTTAGGAGCAGCTGTTTTTGATGAATATGTAGTTGCTGTAAAATATTTGTGATTTTTAAAGGTGTTTAGCTATTTTTAAAAATTAAATTGTTTTCTGTTCAGTTTCTTGTAAAATGCATAAGTAATTGTGTAGTGCTTTTTCTTGCCAATTTTCGAGTATGTTATGTTTCAGGCATGATTGTTTGTGGTGTAAAATTTTTAGAATTGTTGAACTAGGTTTGATAGGGTTAACAAATTATTTTGTGATTCTGCCCGAATTTATTTTAATTATGATAAATTTTTCTGAAGTTGAAAAATTCTGAAAATTTGTGGAGATGCTGACTATATGATGTCTAGCATGCTGTAAAAAGATTAGAATTTTTGGAGTTCAGTTGTGATCAGTTCTGATATAATTGTGATATTTGGCTGATTGTGGTTTTAATTTTATAAAATTGTTATCCTGAGTGTTGAAGGCTGGAAAATTTACGTGATGCTGTCCATATTCTGTGGTATTTTAGATAAAAATTTCATAGCCTGAATCGTTCATTATCATGTGCTTTTAATTTAAACTTATTTTTGTTGAACAACTTGTTTGAATTTTATAAAATTATGCATAAGGAGTTTGAATCTGAAATTGGGTGATCTTACTTAGAATTGGGATGTGAAATTTTTGTTAAAGTTTTAGAACCTAAATCATTGATTTGATATGTCTTCTAATTCAAGTGTGAATTTGAGAAATTGTTTTTCTATGTTGAAATGTGTTAAGTGTTGATGACCAAATGTGCCATGTATTTTGCTTGTGGCTCGTTTGTTGTTTTTCACTTGCTTTTGTGTGAACTCGAATATATGGTTTGATCGAGTCTAAGTCCAAGTGTTCCCATATCCACAGAACTTCACGAACCACTTGGTCGAACCGAGTTCGGCTAAGTCAACTTGTGAATTTGCTACATAGGTCTAGATTAAAGTGTTGACTTTAGTATCTGGACTTAATGTAGGTGTCGAGAGGTGTTGAACCTTGCCTCGTCTCGAGATTTGTGATTTGAATTGTAGCTGCTATCAGGTGGGTACATTTATGATGTATTCCATATTTATCGCACTTAATATTTCGTATAAATGCTTTGTTTGAAAAATGATGTATGCGTGAGAACCCTAGTCTAATCGTCCCGTATGTTAGTGCCTTTGATGATGCATAAACAGTGAGAGGTCATCGGCCCGTAGATTCGGAGAGGTGATGCCCAGGTCCGTATGATTTTCGTGAATTGGAAAAACATCTCTACTGTCTCCTGGAAAGGATCCCAGGCCCGTAGCCATTCGGTGATGGGAAGGTTTCCAGTTACTTCCTTGCCGTGTGTGATCGGAAGGTTGTTGTATGTACATAGGAGGTTTGCGATAGGGCCAAGTAGGGAGTTAGACTGTTGGATTCTATGCATACTGAATACTATGGTTATGATGGTTTAAAATGTTATGCGAGATATACTGTGCGATAATGGTGAGCTTGTTGGTTATGCTCACCATTCTCTTCCTTTGTTCTAGGTTGAGACGAGCTGGAGGCGGTGGCGTAGGACGAGCGAGATGGTGGTCATTATGTGTTGAAACCTATGCTTCCGCTTGAACTTAATACTTATTTATTTTGCTATTATTCTTTGAATTATTTACTGCTTCCACTTTTCGAACTAAGTTTAAGTATGTTGAACCGTGATCATGCTAGACTTTTGAAATGAACTTGAGACGTATGTTCTGTGGGATTGTTATTTTGATAACTCGAGCATGTGTAGGTTCTTGGATTGTTAGTTGTGCTTATTTGTTGTGGTTAATAAGTAGCACCCGTTACTCGATAAATGTTTTAACTTGGATTAAAAAAAAAAAAATTTGATTTTTTTAAAAAAAAAAAAAAAAACTCTGATTTTTTTAATTAAATAAATGCGGTAAATTCTTTCAAATAAAACGGGGCGTTACAGCATAGCTCATCATCGATCTCACCATATCCAACAGAGTCCTATTCCTTCTCTCTGCTACGCCGTTCTGTTGGGGAGTACCAGGCGCTGTCAGCTGGGACGTAATCCCATTCTCCAATAAGTATTGCCTAATTCTTTGCTAAGGTATTCGCCACCATGATCAGATCGCAGTGACTTGATACGGTTCTCCGCTTCTGCCTTGAATTCTCTGAACTTGTCAAAGCATTCAGACTTGGGCGCATCAAGTAAATGTACCCATATCTCGAGTAATCGTCAATAAAAGTAACGAAATACTCAAAACCACCTCTAGCTTGAATAGACATAGGCCCACACAAATCAGAGTGAATTAATTCCAACACATCATTGGACCTATTCCCCTTGGCCTTAAAAGGCCTAAAAGTCATCTTGCCTTCCAAATAAGATTCGCAGATTGAAAATGGTTCAACTTGGAAAGAATCCAAGATGCCACTACCTACCAGCCTTTGGATCCTCCTTAGATTAACATGACCCAACCTTAGGTGCCAAAGATATGTTTGATTCGACTGAGAAGGTTCCTTTCTCTTGTTTAGTGATGAAGATGCATGAGCCTCAGTCACAGTATGATATGCACAAGTAATAGTATAAAGATTGTTAACCAACATGCCAGAACAGATAAAAGAGTTATTTCTCATAATAACAACATTGTCATTAAAAATAACTGAATATCCATTAAAAACAACTTCGGAACTGAAATTAAATTCTTCCGAAAACTCGGCACGTATAAAATGTTCTATAATACTAAAACAGATTCAGAAAATGATAAGTGCACATCTCCCACTGCAACCACCACCACTTGTGCAGCGTTGCCCAAGTTGATGGTAATCTCGCCCTCACTGAGCTGCCTTCTTTGCAGGAACCCCTACAAAGTATAACAAACATGATCAGTGGCTCCTGTATCTACTACCCAAGAACTGGTAGAACAAGCCGCAAAACATGTTTCAACAACTAAAGCAAGAGACATACCAGGAGTGTCCTTGAGGGGACAATCTGACTTCCAATGTCCTGTCTTGTTGCACTTGAAGCACTTGCCTTTCGGCTTCTGCACACCACCAGAAGGCGCTACAGCTTTGCTCCCACTGCTCCCACCACTCTTTTTCTGCACTTGCTTTTTCTTCTTCCCGCCTTTCAACGAAGAAGGTCCAGCTTGTACAGAAACATGAGCCTGTGGTCCCCTACCCATAAGACCCTCCGCTACAACCAAGTTCACAAGAAGCTCGGCTAGAGTATAGCCCTTCTTATTCATGATTGCATTCAGGCGGAAGTTCTCATAGGACTTCGGGAGCGAGTGCAGGATGATATCGATCTTGGCATCGCCATCGATATTTCCTCCGAGCACATCTATCTCATTCAGATATTCCATCATCTTGAGAACATGCTCTCGCACAGAAGCTCCCTCCGGCATGACAGAAGACATAATCTTCCGCATAGCCTCAAACCGAGCAGCCCTATCTTGCTCACCAAAGAGTTCCTTGAGGCTCAACATCATGTCAGCAGCAGTAGGCATGGTGTGATGCTGCTGTTGCAAAACATTTCACATAGATGCTAAGATGTAGCAACGAGCCATCTCATCAGCCTTATGCCACTTCAGATGAGCCTCCCTTTCCTCTTCGGTAGGAGCGGCGCCCAAAGGAGCAGGAGCAGGCGTGGTGAGCACAAACTTGTACTCATCAGCAACAAGGACAATATCCAGATTCCTCTTCCAGTCCAAATAATTTGGACCAGTAAGCTTGTTTTGATTGAGAATGGTCATAAGCGGATTGAATGACATGATGAATAACTGAAATAAATAATTGCAAACACGTAAGCAATAATTCACATAAGTTTGAAGCATAAAACATGGAAACCTTCAAAAACATTATTTAACGCATCCTTCGACAACTTAAACAAACACACATGCAAGCCACGTTAGGGTGGACGTTTACACATATGTCCATTAAGCAGACACCCAGTCAATAATCTCAATTGCACGCCAACCTGTCCTTATGGCGAATGAAATTAATAGACGAAAATTTTAACACTAGCCATGTGAATTAAATCAGGGACTCCGTTGGGGAGTTATATTAAAATTCACATCTAAGTGATGACCACAATTTAACCTCAAGAACAATCATTCACAATTGATGAACTTACCGAAGGGGAAGACACATCGCTTGTAAATAATTTTCTACGGTTATATCGAAATAATCTTTACCGGTGAACTTATGAATGACACTATCCGTTAGGGAGGAGACCCCATGGGTCACGCATATGCCACCCACTTCACCTAAAGATCAAGTCATTTGAATAGAAGTCTTATCTAGTAAGCTCGTGAATGTCGCA